AACTTTAGTTCTTATTTTTTCTAGTAATAATTTTACAAAAATTTAAAAAGGGGCTTTTTGAAGGGTTGGGAAAAGGGTAAAATGGTAAAAAACTGGGTCATTTTTCCCTTGGTTTGAACGTAACAAAAAGTTTTCCCGTCTCCTATGTCTGCCACACATTTAAAACCCATAATTAAGTAGAAAAAGTTGGTTAAAAAACCAGGCCTTTTTCGTTTTCAAATTTTCCTAGGGTTCTGTCCAAAAGGCATCTTGGGAATATCTTCATCCTTTTTTGGGTTTAAAATTTGGGGAACACATTGCAACAATTCTAAATTGGGAAACCCTTAAAACCCCCCTTTTAAAACAAATTCTCGGGGTAAGGAAATTTAAAACATGTATATTAAAGGGGGGTAACTAACTAAAAAGAAAGGTTTTTTAGGCATTATTAAATTTTTGGAAAAAGAAAAGGAATTTCAAATCCTATTTGGGGAAATTTTATTAAAACGGGAATAGGAAATGATATGTAATTTTATTACCCCTCACTTTTTTCGGGAATGTTAATTTCCCCTAGGGTTTTTTGGGGTTTAAATTTTTAAATGTTAAAAGCAAAAAATAACCCCGGGGACTAAGAATTTTGTACTTTTTTATAAAAGGGGAAAAATATTTTTTTAACAGGTTAAAAATCTTGGGGGGCCGGGGGGGGGGGGGGGGGGGGGGGGTTTATTTTCTTAAAAAAAAAAATGGGGGGCCCCCCTTTTTTTTTTCGAATTTAAAAAAACCCCTTTTTTCCCGACGATAGGGGCATCGCCGAAGTAACTATTAAATTTGATAAAAATTTTGGTTTTTTGGGACCCTAGATCCCTTTCGCGTATTAAAAAATCTTTTTTTTTTGAAAAGTAAAGGGAAAAATCCGTTTTCCCAAAGGAAGGTAATTTAATGTTAAAAAATTTTGTGTTTTAAACTGGAACATTCAGGGGCAATTAAAGGGGAGGGAAAAAAGGAAAAAATTTTTAAAAAAAAATTTTTAACCAGGGGAAACGTTACAGAACATTAAAAGTTGGGGGGGCCAGACAAACTGTAAGGGGGTATCTTCGTTTTTTTAAATGCACCTTTGTCAAAAAACCCTGCCGGAAAAAATTTGGTTTCAGAAAGGGTCAGAATTTCAAAAGATCAAACCCCCTTAAAAAAATGGGTTTTTTGTGTTTTGTTTTTTGAATAAAACACAGCTTTATTTTTATTTTTTTTGCTGGTAAATTTATGAAAAACACTTTCCTAAGGAATAAAAGAAAAAAGCGCCCCTTTTCCAAAATAGGCCCCACCCCGGTGCACTTTAAAAATTTGCCCAAGGGGAAGGAAAAGTTTTTGTTTTTTGCTTCTCTTGGGGTTATTTTTGTTAAAAAGGGGGAAAATTTAGTTGAGGAAAATTTAGAATCATCCAAAAGTATTTTTTTTCGGGGGGGGGTTAATAAAATTTTTTTAAACATTTTTTGGGTTTGTTTTTAACAGTTTTTAAAAAATCATTCCCCGTCAAATACTGTTACCCCGGCCCACCGGGTTTTTTTTTTTTTTTGGGTTTTCAAATTTTTTTTTTCGGGGATTTATTTTTTTTTTTCTGTTACCCACAAACCCATTTTTTTATTTTTAAAACTGTTGTTTTTTATTTTTTTTGCAAACCCTAGAAAATTTTTTTAAATATTTTAACCCAAAAACAAGTTTTTTGGGGATTACTTTCACAGGGCAAGGGGGTGGGGAATCTATAAGCAACTTTTTAATAATAATAAAAAAATTTTTTATCAATTTTTTCCCCTTAATTTTTAGGGTTTTTTTTTTCCTTTTTAAATAAAAATACATGTAAAATACCTTTCCTCAAAAATTTGTTTTTTGGAACCCCTTTTAAAAATTTTTTTTTTGATATTTTAAAAAAGGGGCCCATCAAACCAACACAAAACCCGGGAAAATTTAAAAACCCCGAAAAATTTAATTTTTTTGAAACTTTTTTATTTTTTCCATTTTAAAAAATATCACAACGGAAAAATTGGGGAATGCCATGAAACCAGGTTTTTTTTTAATTTTTTCACAATTGTTTTTTAATTTTTAAAAAATGTTTGTTTAATTTTTTTTAAGATACAAAAACAAGCAACAAAAAAATTTTTTAAAATTTTTGTTTTGGGAAAAATTTTTTTTAAAACTTTTTAAATTTAATTTGTTAAAAAGGAAAAGGGGAATTTGGCCGGGTGGGAAAAAGGGGTTTTACTATATTAATTCTGGGTTTTTTTTAAGGGAAAAAAAACAAAGGGCCATAATTAGGGTTTAAAAATTATTTCCCAAACACAAAAACCCCCGAAAAAATTTTTTTTTTTTTTTGGTTTTTTGGCCCCCAGGGACGCTTTGGTGACAAAATTCTGTATAAGGAAAAAAAAAGGGCCTTAATTAGGTCAATATATTATCCAATCACAAAACCCTGACAATATGTGCCAGGGCACATGATGACAAAGCTTCTGTGAAAGTTTTGAAAACAAAATCCCTTGAGAATTGTAGAGGGAGTTCAGCACAGAAGAAATTGTTCACTATATATATTCTATATAAGGAAAAAAACAAAGGGCCGTAATTAGGTCAAATATTATCCAATCGCAAAACCCCGACAATATGCCCCAGGGCACTTGATGACAAAGCTTCTGTGAAAGTTTGGTCAAAATCCCTTGAGAAATGTGAAAGGAGTTGCGCACAGAAGAAATTGTTCACTATATATTCTATATAGGGAAAAAAAACAAAGGGCCATAATTAGGTCAAATATTATCCAATCGCAAAACCCCGACAATATGCGCCAGGGCACTTGATGACAAAGCTTCTGTGAAAGTTTGGTCAAAATCCGTTGAAAAATGTAGAAGGAGTTGCGCACAGAAGAAATAGTTTTTTCCTTCGGAAAACCTGGTTAATAAAATAACTCATATTGTCACCCTATTGCAATAACTGGTTAACTCCTATTAAATTTAGAAGGACTTAACCTGTTACTGCACTAAAGTGATGAATTATGTATGAATAATATGTTTGAGATTATATACACAATAGATGTAAATTCATTATCAATTTAAGAATAAATTTGTGAACATGAAATTTTTTTTTTTTTTTTTTTTTTTTTTTTAGTATGTCAGTGTAATTTATTTAACATGAAATTTAAAATTGTTACAATCCCCACAAGATTGATTTAATCAGGATGGATATAAAAGATATTGTAAAATGCAAATGTACATTCTTAATTTTCTGTCACCTTCAAAATTACATAAACAAAACTACCAGCTATTTGTACTTGTAAGTTAAGTTTATTATACAGTTTATTAATGTGTAGTTTACATCTCACAGCTTTTAACTCTAGTTTTTATGTATGTTCACATTTACAAAAACATTTATGTAGAATAAAACATTACATTTTTTAATTTATATACATATAATTTAAGCATAATTTATGTTTACATTAAGCAATAATTACCTTAACAATGAAATGGAAGACTCAGTAACAATGTTACTGGATATGGAAAATGAATCAGCTAATATCACAGATCGTATGGGAAGAAAACTAGGTCTGAAACAAATATGTATTGTTTGTTATAATATTTTAATACAAATTTCTGCAATAAGTGTAATTCAACAATGATACAAAATTTTAATTTACATACAAGACTACTGTATTTGATATTTCAGGAATGTTGTCACGTGCAATTATTGGTTGGTTGGGTTTGACATTGCACCAACATGTCATATATAAAAGTCATATGATGAGTTTTTTAAGCTTTACCAGTAAAGAAAGACCTCAAGTGCCCCTCCGTGCATTACTTCTTGCATGAATAGGCACTTTATAAGAATCATTGATGTTCAATAAGCTAGCTTCGAAAGAGTCCAAAGTCCCTGGCAGGATTTGAACCCTCAGCGGTGAAGAGCAAGTGGCTTGAAGTAAACATCTTTAAACACTCAGCCACGGATGCCCTTATTAAAATCATTGTGACATTAGATAAATCAAATCATGTAACATCACTGTATATATCAGATCATTGTAAATAACAATCCAGTAATAATTACTGTATACATGAATATCAAATCAAGTGTTATTGTATATGTCAGATCAAATAACATTTACTGTATATATCAAATCAAGTGATATTCAGGGATACATAAAATCAAGAGACAATCATTGTCATTGTATATATCTTCTCAAGTAAAACTAGGCATATCAAATCACATGCTAATCATTGTACATACATGTATATCAAATCAAATCCAGTTACATGTATTGGATATATCAGTCATCCACTGGAATTTAGCAAATCCAATTAGATGTTATTAATAATCACAGTTCATCAACAAATGTGTAGAAATGTAGACAGTTTCAATCAAATATTACCTATAGTCTATTGCACATGTCCACAAATGCACATGAAGTTCTGTAAGAACTTTAGGATCTACATATCCTAGTATAGGATAATCTTTTACATCCAGAAAATCCATCATCTGAAGATAAATATAAAACTTTCTTTTAGCACAAAATACCAAAATAAATTTGAACATTCAATCAGGTTATATGAACATTATTTTCAAAACAGATTCAAGGAAACATGAAATATCAAATTACATTGAATTGAACTCTTCTCTAACAGCTTACTTCCATTGTAACTGACTTACTTCTAACTTTAAAGTTATCTTTTCTTTGCTATATTTTCAGTAACACTGTTGCTGTTAAAGTTAGTCATATGGGAATTTCAAGCTTTACTGGCGGACAAGGTTCTAAGATCTCACTCCATGCAGTATTTCAGACCAAAGCAGACACCTGAGTAGAACTACCATCAATCTGAAAGCTAACTGGATAGCTTCCAGAGATGAAAGAATCTTAAGTCTCTATAGAGATCCAAACACACAGCAGTAATGGGATAATGAATAGAAATATGGAAACCTTTCCCACTTGACCATAAAGACAACTGCCAGTATTTAACTAACAGTCTCCCAATCAGATATAAAAATCTCACACCATTTAAGTATTTGCATAATCTTGAAGTAAGTGAGAACCACAAATGTATCATCACTATTATGGTGAATTGTGTATGCTATTATTGTGTTTAGAAGAGTTACATCATAAATACCTGAACAAAAACATTACAGTATGGTGGACACATCTTATGTCTCATTGTTGCTCCTTTCACACCCACGGACACCAGAAATTCCTGAAATAATCAAATAATAATTATTTGATGAAGTCAGGTCAACACTGTAAAGGTCATATTCTGACTTCCCAGTGAAACCATTAACATTATGTAGGCTAGCTTGATTGTTTCCTTACATGGAAGAAATCACAGACCTTGGTGTGATTTGAATTTACGACAGTGAGATGCAGATCAGTTATAGTAAGAGACCTTAGTCACTTGACCAAGGAGGCCTCTAGAAACCACCTATGACATGTTTAATATAACTTGTATAGACAGAATGTAAAAGAAATTTCTTCAAAATGCTTTTCTGTGAATAACAGCCTATTTTTAAAACTATAAATATATGCCATACTAATGATATAAAAAAATATAATTGTTTACCTTAACAATTTCATCAGCTGTTAAGTCTTTCTTTGATGTTAAAATGTCTAGTTTGATTTTAAGAGCCACTGATACCATATCTTGTGAATCAGTCCCGGTTCCTATATCTTCTCTAGTGTTGACTAGAACACCAGGCTCGGACCGGTAGATGACATGGTTGTGTTGAAGATGTGGAGGAACCGGTGCAGTTAACTCACCACACTCTATCAATGGCAGCATCTCTGTGTTTGATACACAAGCTGAAATAGTTAAACATGAGGTAATACATCATCTATTACTTTATTGTATGAAACTTCACTGAGTCATTTTACAGTTATTTTTGTTCTTTTTAAAAAATGGAAATAAATGGTTATGCTTAAAAATAATTCTGAAACTGGCATAACGCTTTTCAGCAACATCTAACCTAACTAAAATTTTCTTTCCACATGGCATTTATTCAATAAAAACTAATATACAACAGAAGTTTTAAATCGCACCACTATGATAGAGGTCAGCTCTGTTGACAAGGACGTTGACAAACTGAATGTTAGGATCACCATTGTGAGCAGAAACAGTAAACAGGAGAAGATCTGATATCTGTGCCAACACTTCACCGTGTGAATCCTGCTGTATACAACCATTTGTATCCTGTAATATTTATCATACATCAAGTGTGAATGTAATATATATTATATATCAAGAGTGAATGTAATATTTATCATATATCAAGAGTGAATGTAATATTTATCATATATCAAGTGTGAATGTAATATTTATCATACATCAAGTGTGAATGTAATATTTATTATATATCAAGAGTGAATGTAATATTTATTATATATCAAGAGTGAATGTAATATTTATCATATATCAAGTGTGAATGTAATATTTATCATATATCAAGCGTGAATGTAATATATATCATATATCAAGAGTGAATGTAATATTTATTATATATCAAGAGTGAATGTAATATTTATCATACATCAAGCGTGAATGTAATATTTATCATATATCAAGAGTGAATGTAATATTTATTATATATCAAGAGTGAATGTAATATTTATCATACATCAAGTGTGAATGTAATATATATCATATATCAAGAGTGAATGTAATATTTATTATATATCAAGAGTGAATGTAATATTTATCATATATCAAGTGTGAATGTAATATATATCATATATAAAGAGTGAATGTAATATATATCATATATCAAGAGTGAATGTAATATTTATTATATATCAAGAGTGAATGTAATATTTATCATACATCAAGCGTGAATGTAATATTTATCATATATCAAGAGTGAATGTAATATTTATTATATATCAAGAGTGAATGTAATATTTATCATACATCAAGTGTGAATGAATATATATCATATATCAAGAGTGAATGTAATATTTATTATATATCAAGAGTGAATGTAATATTTATCATACATCAAGTGTGAATGTAATATTTATCATATATCAAGAGTGAATGTAATATTTATTATATATCAAGAGTGAATGTAATATTTATCATACATCAAGTGTGAATGTAATATATATCATATATCAAGAGTGAATGTAATATTTATCATACATCAAGTGTGAATGTAATACATATCATACATCAAGAGTGAATGTAATATTTATTATATATCAAGAGTGAATGTAATATTTATCATATATCAAGTGTGAATGTAATATATATCATATATCAAGAGTGAATGTAATATATATCATATATCAAGAGTGAATGTAATATTTATCATATATCAAGAGTGAATGTAATATTTATCATATATCAAGTGTGAATGTAATATATATCATATATCAAGAGTGAATGTAATATTTATTATATATCAAGAGTGAATGTAATATTTATCACACATCAAGTGTGAATGTAATATATATCATATCAAGAGTGAATGTAATATTTATCATACATCAAGTGTGAATGTAATATATATCATACATCAAGTTAGAGTGAATGTAATATTTATCATACATCAAGTGTGAATGTAATATTTATCATATATCAAGTGTGAATGTCATATATATCATATATCAAGAGTGAATGTAATATTTATTATATATCAAGAGTGAGTGCAATATTTATTATATATCAAGAGTGAATGTAATATTTATTATATATCAAGTGTGAATGTAATATATATCATATATCAGATGTGACTATCAACTTGAAACATCAATGATAATATACAAACAATACACAGAGCACCATGAGGTTACAACTATTGTCATTATCTGGCATGTTTTATTGATAAAGTAACTGGTATTATATTATTATAGCTATAAGACGTTAAGTGAACGTATAAAGATATATCATATTTTAGTTTGTTCGGTTTTATGCCTATTTTTAACATGTTCTGGTCATATCTCAGCAGTTGGCATTTTTTTAAAAACTTGGTTGGGTTTTACCTTGCACCAACACAGTATATTTCTAACGGCAACTTTCCAGCTTTACTGGTGGAGGAAAACCTAAGGTGCCCTTCCATGCATTATTTCAGACACAAATGGGCACTCGAGTAGAGCTACCAATGTTCCACAAGCTAGCTGGATCATAATTCCACTGCTGTGTGAGATAAGTGGTTTTGAAGTCAACAACCTTAACAACTTGACCAGGGACGCCACAGTCGGTGTAGCTAACATGCTTTCCTGGATAATCTAACCAGTGATAACCAATTTCTCTGCAAGATACTGACTACTAATCCCGCATTATATTTTACACAAAGGAAACAACATATGTGATAAGATATGACCTTGCTATCAGTGAATGCTGTCAACCTTCCTTTACCAATGTTTAGATTAAGGCACAGTTTACTCTGTTGTTGTCTTGGGGGACGTTTCCGTCGTGAATATCGACTGTCATGTATACTGTAGTGATTTATACTCTCATCATCATCAGAGTCAGATTCTATAATATACATTTATACTTACTCTTCAGTAAAATAAAAATAAAACATGGTATGTAGTATCAAATGAATCAACTAGTATACAATAATGTTGAAAAAAGATTGTGCATCTTACACCACTTATATAGTCATACTGTTTTTAAAATAAGAATTGGTTGTATCTGCAGGTGTTTGAAAAATCTGAATCTAAGCAATATCAGATCATAGCATTTATATTGTATGTCATTCATTAGATTGTTATAATCTATTCAGACTAATACTATTGTGGTATAAATATTACACACATGTAACATTACAAATACACATAGATTATACGTTTAAATGTATTTAAGTTAGAGTGGGAAACAACTTCTTCCAACTGATATTAATCACTTTCGATTTCCCTTCCTGGAACCAACCAGACCCAATAAGGGCTTGAACTCATCATCCCTGTGTTGAGAGGCAGACACCTTAACCACTAGGCCACCGCTCTCCTTGAGTTGAGAAATGTTAAATCTGTAAAATGCTACAGGCAATGTTCTCAACCACAACTTGGACATGCAATCATAACACTAAAGAATAGAATATAAGAATGTATTACCTATTTGTATGCCAGATTTTGCCATTGAGAAGTGTTCACCTGTATGCAGTGGACTATAAACATTTACATCTACAGTGTTAGTCATCATATAGTGATCACGTTGTACTGTAACTGGGGCTGGAGCACTTGGTTCCCATAGCAACATGTCATTGTTTAACCTGTAAATACAAAATAAATCTAGTAATTTTACAAAGGCTAAATATAACATCCTGATGTGACACTTTTAAAACTAGTAATAGACAACTGGACAACACAAAATTTTAAAATAATCTGTACTGAGATCCAAATAGTTTCTGTACTAAAATCCAGTTATTTTACATTATTTTTTATATAATTGCCTAAATTGATAGTAACAAATCAATATCAGTTTGTCACATATAATTTTAGAAATCCCAATATTTTCTTATAGAAAAACTTTTGTCATGTGGCCTGGTATGGCAAGAGGGGTACGAGATTACTCATGATTTTGTATAAGGAGAAGTATTTCCTCTACACAAAATATAACCCAACATAATTATATCATGTCACTGTATAAGTCATCTGTTTCACATATAATCATTGAAAAAATGATTTCTGCAGTTTAATAAATATGTCATTTAGAATATGCAGCTTGTGTTTAACAATGGTATAATTACCTGGTACTGGTACCCCAACACATTTATATGCAATGAAGTGCTTGTATGAAAAATTTCTATGCATAAAAGCAATTTGGATATAATTTGGATATAAAAGACAAATTCTGATATTTAAAAAAGTTTTCATTGTATTGTCTTTTTATTTGTCCACTGGTGATATTATTGCAGGACCCTAATAAATGTCTCATATAGCAGTTTACTTCAGATGGTGGCCATTTTATATATCTGCTCATCAGAAATTAGGGGGTTACTTAAAACATGAAAAAATGTTGGGTACTGCTTTTTTGTACGCGAAACTTACTTTTTTATATGCCAGACACTTTTTTCTTTATTCGTACAAAATGGTCGAATAATATTCCTAAACATTGAGAGTAAACAAAATGTGTTTATATGCCACTATTACCTGTTAAGAGGATTTTTCAAAGAATTTTGATTTGGCAAGAAACAACAAGGGTTGGGCGAAGTCACTATTTCTACAACCCCATCTCTTGTGTTGTTGACAGGACTTCTGTTGAACTCTTAGCTCATCCTATTGTGGTAGCACACCATTAAAAAAAACGTAAATTACTAAATAATAACATTATTTCCAATAAATCATATATTTAAAAACTTTATATTCATTAATAAAACAATCAGCAAATTCGTTTCTGGATTTCCATGTATATGTGACACACTATTTTTAACATTTGTTGGCAAATTTATTTCTTTCTCTCTATGGTGTAAGAACACAATGTGCCTCAATGTATAGAACCACAATGGCTTGGTCTTCTATCAAACTGTAAACTCAAACAATAAAGATTCTAAAATCTGACAGTTATGTTGAATTTATATATTATATTATGTTGAATTTATATTATTTTATATATTTTCACATCCAAGGTGTTATAATAAACCATAATTGCATTGTATTTGACAAACAATAAGACTTTTATAATAGAGTAAAAAAGCAAAATGGTCAGATCAATTAAATTATTGGACCTGTTTCTGTTTTTTCATTGACGTCCTGTTGATCGGTGTCATGCATGTTACGACGTGATGAGAACGGGGAAGGTTACTCCCTGGCAAACTGGATGTCCATTCAGGAGTCTAGTGGTTTGTATCATCCATGTAGATCTCCTCCTCTATGCACTGATGTTGTAGTGTTACAGAACTTGACAGTGATTGTAGATTGTTAAACCCATCCTCTCCACCTTCCCCACTAACAATGGCAAAAATTTGACACTCATCTGTACCAGTTTTTTTGTAATAAACCTACGTTATCATTATATAGTATTATGTAAGGGGTGAATATTTGTTTACTTTATATCTCAAAAGTTCTTTTGCAAAAATAAAGAAATTAGTCATTTCCCTTTGTAAAATTTTTTATAAAAAGTTTAAACAGATAAAACTTAACAAAAATTGTCTTGTTATATAAAAATTTTTTTTACCCTAATCAAAACAAATTTAGAGGTTAACAGAATAGTTTTAAACCAAAAAGTACTATTTCTATATCCTTTTGCAATTAAGTGTTCTGCACCCGTTTTATATATAAAAATGTACCCCAGTAAACCCAAAAAAAATTTTTTGTAGGCGCTAAAAGAAAACTGAAAAACTCTTTTATCTATTCCTGGAAAAATCAGTATTTGCAAGGAGTTAAAGTTTCTTACCCCCCAGAACCCAAACGGTTGCCCCCGACAAATTTGGGGCAAAACCAGCTAGCAATCTTAGATTACTAGTATGACGTGTTAACCTCATAGCTGCCACTCTGACTTAGTTTTAGGCAAGTCATTTTGGATAAGAAACATTAGATTACTTATAAAAGCAATCTTAAATTTACATTTAAGTTTAAACTCATCAACACTTTGCTCAACTTTAATTTGTTTTAAAATAAGGGGCACATGTACCTGCATATAGAATGATATCTAACAGCATGGATAAACTCATACAGGTCATGTAAACATTAATAAATCCTTGTATATCATTACAACATAAAAGATGTAAGTCAGTTATTAGTTAAGTTCACATTTACCATGGATATCTGAGGCTGAGATTTGAACTTGCTCCAAGGGCTGACTGGTAACAAAAGCTGCTCTTACTACAGCAGTCTCTAGATCTACAACTAAAATATCATCTCTAAGGTTACGCTGATACCAAGACTTGTCTACATGAGGTTCTTGACGAAGATCTGGGATAGGAAACCTGAAATATAGAACAGGACAAGAATTTATGTGGTACTTTATCAACTAAAAATAAAGATGTCAGTCTTAGAAATATCTCTCTTTTTTCATTGCTTCTACAATTCATTTTTGCAATTTATATATCAAAACTTATTTAGATCAAAACAACTTATTTAAGTTGAGTCCCGTTGAAGTCAACCCTATTCCATGAAGTACATGTATTTTAATTGGTACAGTGCAAAACTCCATCCCTTAAAAAAGATCTATCAAATTTTGAAAAAGAAAACTTGCAAAAACAATCTTAACTAGTGGAGCAATGTTGTTGTAAATTAGAACTGCCACTCTCATGGCGTGAATACCCCTGCATACCACTTTGTCAGACTGTGGCCATTTAGAACTCAAGGACAACCACCCTGCCAAATCTGAGGTTACTAAGCCAGCGCATTGCTAAGATATGTATTCTCCATGCTTCAAATGTGAAAATTTTAAAATCAAGGTTTTTTAGTCAAGGCCCCTGTGACCTTAACCTTTGACCCAGTGACCTCAAAATCAATAGGGGTCATTTACTAATCATGACTAACCTCCATGCCAAATATGAAGACTGTGGGGCAAAGGAATCTCAAGTTATTGGGCAGACAAGCCTTTTTTAAGTCAAGGCACCTGTGACCTTGAACTTTGACCCAGTGACCTCAAAAACAATAGGGGTCATCTACTAATTATGACTAACCTCTATACCAAATATGAAGTCTGTGGGTCAAAGGAATCTCAAGTTATTGGGCGGACAAGCTTTTTTTAATCAAGGCCCCTGTGACCTTGAACTTTGACCCAGTGACCTCAAAAACAATAGGTGTCATCTACTTATCATGACTAACCTCCATGCCAAATATGAAGACTGTTGGTCAAAGGAATCTATAGTTATTTGGTGGACAAGCTTTTTAAAGTCAAGGCCCCTTTGACCTTGACCGTTGACCCCAAAATCAATAGGGGTCATCTACTAATCATGACTAACCTCCATGCCAAATATAAAGAATGGGGGTCAAAGGAATCTCAAGTTAATGGGTGGACAAGCTTTTTAAAGTCAAGGACCCTGTGACCTTGACCTTTGACCTCAAAATCAAATAGGGGTCATCTACTAATCATGACTAACCTCCATGCCAAATATGAAGACTGTGGGGCATAAGGGAATTCAAGTTATGGGCGGACAAGGTTTTTTAAGTTCACAGGACCCCTGTAACCTTGACCCTTTGACCCATGACTCCAAATCCAATAGGGAGTCATCTACTAATCATGACATAACCATCCCTGCCCAAATATGAAGACTGTGGGCTCAAAGGAATCTCAAGTTATTAGCGGCGGACCCAGCTTTTTAAAGTCAAGGCCCCTGTGACCTATGACCTGAATGACCCAAGGTTGACCTTCAAAAACACATAGGGGTCATCTTTTAATCCATGGACTAACCCCATCTGCATACAATATGAAGACAGTGGGTCAAGGAATCTACGAACGTTATTGGAGCGGGACAAGCTTTTTAAAGTAAGGCCCTTGTGACCTTGACCCTACATGACCCCAGTGACCTCAAAAACATTGGGTCCACTACTAATATGATAACCCCCCATGCTAACATGAAAATGGGGCCAAAGGAATCTCAAATTTTTGGGGGACAAGGAAAACCCACGGGCAACAGGGGCCCGGACATTCCCAAAAGCTGTTTCCAGTATACCCCCCTTTCAACTTTTTCTGTGCGGGGTATAAAAAGGGGAAATCCCGGGAAACAAATTTCCTTTGGGGCGCTTTTGGGGTTAAGCTTCATCGACCTCCTGCTACCTTAGCTGCCTATTCCTGACTAAACCCAAGGGGTTGCCTTACAGAGTAGGGGAGAGTAGGATTTTCATTAGTTAAAGGGTTCTGTACATTTCTTCTAATTTGCAGCTTAAGTGACCTGCTTGATTTTAAAAACGTATCTTTGGCTAATATCAGTGGAACATTCATGGAGGTAAATTATCACAACTTTTTGCATAAAAATTAACTCTTTAAGGGCATGATTGGTGATATGTCCTAGATCCGTACTCGAAAGGGAAAGATGCATTTTGTGCCCATATTGGCAGATGGACCCTCATTAAACGTAGACTACAGTAAAGTACAGATTTTAAAGTAGTTACCTTATGTTGATCTTGGCAAGAGAGCTGGTTATCTCTATAATAAACCTCTGATCCTCAGTAGCACTTCCTTCATCTAGAGTCTGGGTTAAACTATAATCAGTCTAAAATAAAATAAAAATATTACATTTACAAAATCAAATTAACCAAACTTACAATCTTAAGTAGACAATCAAAAGGATAATGTCTTTCTAAAAATCTTTGCAAAGACAATAAATTCAACACAATAAATATTATGGACACAAGTAATTTTTGTGAAATAAACTTTTAACAAACCTTTGCATGAACTTTTTATATTTGGTCTTTCCTTATAAGTGGGCTTTTTGAATTTAAAGAAACTTTATTGTAATTATTTATGGGTAATAAATTTTTTGTATGTTTTCATTCTT